AAACCTTAAGGGTCATAAACAACTTATTATAGGAGTTTCATTGCAAGAACCTTTTCCACTCCATTGTTTTTACATATGTATGACTATGGTTTTGCCATTTTAAAATTTTCTGTGCATTTTAATCTCCTCGTTTATTTCTACTTCTTTTCCTACTTTATGACTTATCAAATAGAATTAAAATTTAGTGCTGCTTTGAGTAATGTAATGGTAAGCATCACTTCCTGGCAAAGATCCAGAAAAACCTAGCTACTGTTGTTTCACTCTACTTATTGTTGCATGAAGAAACATCTCTCTAGTTAAAAAACAAAATGCTCATAAGTTATCCTTGAGGTAATAATTAAAACTGTAATAAAATATTGTCTTTTGTTTGTTTGAAACTATTATTAATTTTTAATTCAAATTGACAATTTGTAGTTATTAATAATTATAACTAAAGAGAGTTTTACTTCTAAATGCCACTAGAGTTTTTATTTTTTATATTTTTAAGGAAATAATTGTTAATTTAGCAATCTTTAATTTTATAATTCTCACATAATACAGGCAAGTGTAGGTAATTACAGGTGATTCTTTTAATCATGTTCTGTTCAAACTTTTCATAAGTTATATTAAGTTATTTCACAACATAATGGATTCCAAAATTTCTCTTATGCATCTTTCCTTATGAGACTGTTGGGCTATAAACCTGTATTCCAAAGTATATTTCTCTATTTCAAAATAACACCAGAGGGAGGAATTAGATACATGAAATACATATATATATTTAACAGATGTAAATTTTATAGTACTTTAAAAATATAATTAAACCAGTCCAGTGATTTCTTGAAAGCTCAAAGTTGGCTGGGAAATTCATGGTGTACTTTATAGTCCCATTCTTGTGGACTTTTTTCTACTTTCTTATCATTCCTGGCCCTGAGAGTCCAGAGATAGTGCGATGACATCTACAGAGCGTACAAGTTGGTAATGAGACAGGAGCCTGCATCTGAGTCTCCAGTTGGTGTCTGTGGTTGGCATAAGGATTAAATCTTTATTCTCTAGAAATGTGACATAATGGGGAAGCTGCCCTGTGTGTGTGTGTGTGTTTCCGTACCATCTCATTCCTAGCTTTGTGAAGTATGTTTTAGCCAGAACACAAGGTTGTCTGCACCCGGCCAGCGAGATTTCTTGTGGAGCCAGCTGCTCTCCCCCTTTCCTACCTTCTGAGCCTTCCACTTTGACACTTGAGAAACTTACAGTTCCCCTCTCCATCTAATTGTGATCTCCTAAAAATGGGAAATTGCAGGATGTGGGAGAGCATCTGGCACTGTTTGTGCATGTTCCTCATCTTCAAAATGGTAATAATAGCAGTTGCTTCATGATGTTACAACCAGTAAAGGAAATAATCAATTCCTGTGTAGAAGATTTAGAAATTTTCTGTCCCAGAAAAGAAAAAAGGAAGGAAGAAAGAATCTGAGTATGCAGGGAAAGTGTTATTTTATCATGCTTTAAACAGGTATAGCCTCATAATCTTGGGAACCCTAGTCCTGTGATTATTCCCTAACAATCTCATGGTTGAAGTTCTTGACAATATTTAATAGAATCCTCTAAGCAAAGGGGGAGAGCAGCTGGCTCCACAAGAAATCTCGCAGGCCGGCTGTAGACAACCTTGTGTTCTGGCTAAAACATAATTCACAATGCTAGGAATGAAATGGTATGGAATATTGTTAACTTCTTCGCTTTTCAAATGGTGATTAATGATTCAGTCATCTATGCAGATAAGATGCATTAAGCACTCCCAGGATGCTTCTTGCAGAGGGGAGTGTGAAATACAGTGTACACTGTAAAATGGATACTGGGCAGTTCTTTGTGAGTTTTTACTCTTGTCTAGAGAATAAAACAAGGATACAAATGAGCATTCCGTGGGTGAAACTGTTATATTCTTTTCCCAACAGTTTTCCGTGTACTGCCATAAGTACCTGCTGAATAGTAGTGAATAAAGACTATTGAATATTAGAAGCAAAGTCCTAGGGTGAAAATTAATTTTCGTATTTATATGACATATATAATAAATCCTACTGGATTTTTTCCTATCTCATTAGAATTTCATTAATTCTACTTCTAGCTTAAGCAACTAAGTCCTCTACTAGATATTTCCTTTGGGACTTAAATGATAGAATAATATGAAGACTTTAGCCATTTTCTTTGGGGGTAAAATTGAGTTGGTTATTATTTTCATGACTTTTCATCTGATGGATTTCCCAGATTCTCTTTTGATCCTTATCTGCCTCAAGAATTGAATGTCTATAAAGATGAATATTAATGGTAGCTATACTTTCTACATTGGAGAATCTATTGGTTGATCTTGCTTCAAAGTAACTTACTTCTTTGTAGTATTGAATTACTCTAATTTCCTACCTCCATGCCTTTTATTTTCCTTTGGAGAAAACCTTTCCAGGGCATGACTTAATGAATTCTGATTCAGATTTCCAAATGAATCTGAACCAAAGCGATTATATAATTTGGTGGAAGGCACCTTCATTAAATACCCTTGTGAGGGAATTTTTACTGTTTCATACCAGACTAAAATTCTTTTCTTGACATATTGAAATGGAGCTTTAACATTTATGAGACTATAAATTGCAATGGCACATTGTAACATGTCATGGGTCCAATAGAGCCTTAGGTCAAGGGTTTTTACTTTCTGTATAACTTCCATTAACAATAACAGTGTTTTAAATTATTTTTTTCTTTAAAAATTAAAAAAAAAGTATGTCCTGCTCTCCAGAGATATATCTTCAGTTATTTCTATAACTTATATGGTTGCATGGGATATGTTTTTATAGTTTTTATCTGGCTTGACCAAAGTGCAAAATCAATTTTACAGGTGTGACTAATTAGCCTTTACTTTTAGAACTTGAATGTGGTTTTCTAATTGAGAAAGTTAATTGTTTTAGTTCTCCCCTTCATTTCTGACTTTGCTGCCATCTTGTTGTCTCAAAACCTTCCTAACAACACAACTTCCAGATGACACTCTTCCATTCTACCTATAGGACCCCCCTCCATTTCTACTTTTGTCACATCATAGGTATGCTATATATATTGACCTGAAATTAAATTTGACATTTTTCTATAGCATTTTTTTGTACCCCTCAAAATGTGGTCACTAGATTCCAGCTCAACCTAAAAGGGCTTCTTGGTTCTTATTTTCCGGCATCTTAGAAGGTCTTCTGAAACAGCATAGTATGAAAACTATCTGACTGGACTGCCTCAGAACCCTGACATTCTATTGCTTCTACTAATGAATTGGCTTTTTGCTATGAATCACAAGAATAAGTGGTAACAAATTTTAAAATTTAGTGTGAGTCTTATTTGTATAAGTCAACAGTGCTATTTATAAGATCTGGCTATGAGCAAGAGAAACCGACTTGGGCTATTTGAACCTTGTGAGAATTGCAGACTTAAATCATTAGGGAGGAAGGTAGCCCTAGTGGCCCAGAAGTGAGATAAGTAATAGCAGTTTTTTGCAGGAAGAGTCTGTCCAGGGCATAACCCCATTGCTTCTACCATCACGAGTGAATTCTGGCCCTCCTTTCATCTTTCTGTCACTCAGGAATAAAACCAAGTGAGAATATCCTTAACCTTAGCTGAGATTAAGACATGTGCTCACCCTAGTGGCCAAAGAGCCAGGAGAGAGATAATCTGCCCTTTTTGTTTTATTATTTTATTTTTTCTGTTAGATACACACAGTAGAAGATCTCCTCTGGATTGGAAAAAGAATGGCTTTCTAGACAGGCATAGAATTTTTGTTTTGTTTTTAAATTTTTGTTTAACATTTTATCTTAACGACGTGGGGTACAATTTGCAATTTGGCTACAAGTGGACATCATACAGGTAAAGTTTGGGCCTCCCTTTGACTCCCACTTTGCCTGGTTTGAGAACAGGTACCATTATTGATGTTGTGCCCCCGCCCCCACAGTATCCTGCTACTGCCAATCCCTTTCTTATAGTGTTATGGTAATTGCTCAGGGTCTACTTATGAGTGAGAAATTGTGGTACACTGTTCTCTGTTTCTGTGATAGAGCACTGAGTCTTATAGGCTCTAAATCGATTTCATCTAAGTTGATGCGAAGTTCATAAAGAAGTTTGTCCTTTATGGCAGCGTAATATTATTATGTATATGTACCATATTTTTTCATCCAGTCCAGTTTTGATGGGCAGCACGGTTGATTCCATGTTTTTACTATTGTAAATAGTGCTGCTTTAAACATGCGTGTGCAGGCATCTTTTTGTAGAATGATTTGAGTTCCTCCAGGCATATTCCCAATAGGGGGATTGCTGGGTCATATGGAAGGTCAGTATCTAGTTCTTTTAAATCACCACACTGTTTTCCATAGAGGTTGAACTAGTTTGCATTCCCATCAGCAGTGTGGAAGTGTTCCCTTTTTTTCCGCATCCTTGCCAGCATCTGTTGTTGTTTGTTTCATTAATGCTGGTCATTCTTACTGGGGTTAGGTGGTATCTCAATATGGTTTTGATTTGCATTTCTCTGATGATTAATGAGGCTGAGCACTTTTTCATGTCAGACATAGGATTTTTAAAATCCTGCAGATTGCATCTCGCTGTTTGCATACAACAAAAGTAGCTAATTACTAATTTTGACAATTTATTTTAAAAATTCAGAATTTTTCTGGGGCCTTGTGTTAAGGCTGGAGCATCCCAGCACCGTAACATATTACCTGGGTTAGCTTGGCAAAGGAGAATTACTTTTCTAAATCCTAATATGTAAATGTAAAATAACAGAACCTACTGAATTGGATTATATTGAGACATTATTTATAATGCCCTAAGCACAATAACAAGTACAATGCAGCCACTCAATTTTGAATGGTCTCTTTCTGCTTGGACAACTTACTGTTTGGTGTGATTGGAATTTTTTAGTTAATATTTTGCTGCACAATGATCTCATGTGCCTATCTGCAGTTTAAAAATCAATGATATCATTTGATTTTTTTTTTCTTTTACAGACAGGCTAGCCTTAATGAAGCAGCTGAGAAATATTATGATCTAGCAGCCAGACTGAGGCCTAACGTAAGTACTTTCTTGATGAAAAGCATTTTCAGAGGAATACACTCAAAGCATATGATGGTTTTAGGATAGAAGCATCATGATACCTTTTTCTTTTCTCTCTGATCTCTTAGTTTGACTATCTACGAAACAATTAATTCAACCATTACATATGCCGATCTAAGCTTCCTTTCCCAGAGCTAAAATTGCTGTTTCTTGCCCTGTGTAAAATTTCAGTGGTCATTTCTGATAAAATGTCATAAGATTTTATCATTTGGCTACAGGTTTTAGCATTGCTAAATACTTTGTATTTGGATGACTTTTAAACTTAATTCCTTGAAAGTTTTTCCCCACTTGTGGCATTAAATACCTATTATCTTTTGAGTCTCACGGAGTCAAACCTCAAGCTGTGTGCCTTTTCTATTACACAGTGCTCATTTCTAATAACTGCTTTTCAACTTTATCAAGAATGTTTTTATTACGGTTTTTCCCTGGGTAGTCATACCTCCATAAAGTAAGATGGACATAAATTAGATCCCTACTATTGAAACAGAGTAACCATTTATGAGAAAATTGAAGACCGAGACCAAGCCCATTTTATTTGCAACACATCGCTGAGTGCCAGCACACTGCTTTTATTCTCATATGCATTCTGCATCTTTCTCCAACACTAAAATCTTCTACCCTGTTCTCCAGATCAAGACCATCTATAGGTAAATGTAATTTGAAAACAGTAATGAAAAGGCACATGTGATGTCAGTTCAAATAATGGGATCAGTCTAATTTCTTTATTGTAACTCATCCATTGGGCATCTATAGTGTTTGCTTTGTGATAGGACACGGAACTTTCCTACCCTAAAAAACCATGCAGTGTGACAGACAAGATTGAACATAATCAACTAATTGAAATACAGTGTGGTGGGTGATTCCTATACAGAAGTATAGGAATGGGAGCACAAAATGGGGAGATTAATGCTCCCTGAAAGAGACCTACGTGGGAAGTAGCTATTTTTTTTTTTTTTCAGGAGATTCAATCATGTACAACCCTAGCCCTGAATCTCAATGCCTTCCAGTTTTATTTGTAGGGGAGAAAATGTAATATCTTTTTTCTCATACATCCCAAGACTCATTGTTGAGACCCCCTGTAACAAAAGACAGATTAACAAGAGAAAAGCATACCAATTTATTTAATATAAGTTTTATCTGATATGAGAGCCTTCAGAAATGACCCAAAGAAATAGGAGAAACTATGCCTTTGTAACATGCAGAAGCATGATTGAAGGACAAAAGGATATGATCTAACGGTAATAAGTTGGGAAGAACTTAGCAGGTCCTGTTTGTTCAGTCTTCTCTGTGTCCCTGTGTATTAAGAGATAAGGATGTTCATAACAGTCATATTACCTACTTTAGGGAAGAAAGGAGGGGGATGTTCAGAGAATATCCTTCCTTTTTCTGTAGTTTTCTGTTTCCTTCAGCTTAAAGCACTTAGTATGCCAGGGTGCCATATTTTGGGGTGCCTGTTCTAAACCTTATCACATTAATTATGAAGTGTTTCAAGAACTGATGAGTAGTTTACAACAAAAGAAAATAATTTAGTGATCATAATGGTGAGAACAATGACTGCTAAAATGTACTGAGCACTTTTTATGTGCCAAGCAAGTACTGTATTAAGTACTTCATTTCTTGGAACAACCTACAGCCATTTTTGTGTTCCCCATTCTGCTGACATTCAGAGAAGTGAATAACTAACCCAGCAGGACACCTGAGTAGAATCACACTGTAACCCAGGCCATTGTAGGCATGAGAAGGCCTAATGGAAAAAAAATATGACCATGTCTTAGAAAATGCCAGCCAGAAATTTGGAAAACCAAAATAATCACTGTCCTGTTATATATTTATTCAGTAAATATTTACTGAGAGCCAGGTACTGATAAACTAAGTAGTGGCTGTACAGCAGGGAACAAATGAACAAGAGTGCCTGCCTGTTAGGAGCTCACAATCTAGTTGGAAGGGGAATTTAAGCAAGTAAGTGTATAGTATATCAGTCAGTGATAAGTCCTTTGGAGAAAGCTGAAGGAGGATAAACAGGTTAAGAAGTGCAGTGGGGAAGGGTTGTGGTATGTATGAGGCATAGTTTTATAAATGCCCAAGTTGGGCAATTTTGTGCAGTATTTCTAAGAAAAGAGTTGAATTTGATTCCGTTAAAGGCAGGGATCAGTTTTTCTTTTTGCTTTTTCTTTTTTTTTCTTGTTCCCGTCACAGTAATATAATGCTCGAAATATACATAATACATGATAATTAAATGCAATTATTTGTTAAAGTACTAGTCTCTTGAGTTTCCGTTTTCTTTTTAGTCAAGTGGTGGGTCAAATGATTGTCTTCAGCATATGATGATGAATTAGTGAGACAAGAGCTACCTGACCTATCTGACCTGAACTAAAAAATGGAAAAGACACTCAGGCATTACAAGATGTGAGCTCAACTTGTGAGACAGTTTATACTAAAAGACTAGCCATATCATAAAATCAATATTTAATCTCCAATGCAAAGTCATTTTTTTTCTGAGTTTGCAAAATGTTTCTTAATAAGCATGCTGCAGACTGCTTTTGAAAATGCATTTATTCAAATGATACTTTCCTTACAGGTAATAGTAAGTTAGAATACAAAGTTCATATTTAACAATAAGTTAATGATGTAACAATCAATGGATCAACAGATGTGGCCTGTTTCTAATCTTTTACAAATTGTGTTTTGACTTTCAGTATGTGGTCTAGGTAAGTAGATGCCACAGAGGCAAGAATGATAAAACACAAACCCTGGCATTAATACAAATTTCTGTCCTGAGACAAACAGACCTGTTTTAACAATAGCCCATGTCATGATTTATTAGCAGTTATGCATCTGATCTAAATTAAAGTATTCATCTAACATTTATCTTGCTCATAGCTGTTTATTTATAAAAACACTGTCATTTCTGTGCTTTTGACTTAGTTAATTTCTTACCTGCCTATACAAGAGAATAGTAAACAGTTCTCAATTTTAGTTTTCTGTTTAAATAGTTCCATTGTCTTTTTTTTCATAGAGCATTTTTTTTATTGTTCAAATGCTTTTGTGTATGCAATGGTAAGTAGCTGTATGTGGGAGACTCCATAAATGTTTTAACAGTGTCCATGCCATCACTATTTAAGTGACTTTGACCCTTCTGTGTCGCCACTTATTATACTCATATTAAAAAGATGGTCTTAGTGGGGTTCGGTGGCACAGCCTATAATCCCGCGCCTTTGGGAGGCTGAGGTGAGTGGATTGCCTGAGCCCGTGGGTTCCAGACCCGCATGGGCAGCGAGACCTCATCGCTACAATAAATCAAAAATTCAGCTGGGCGTGGTAGCGCATGCCTGTAATTCCTGCTACTTGGAAGGCTGAGGCGGAAGGATCTCCGGAGCCCAGCACGTCAAGGCTGCGGTGGCCGGGAGCGGCCACTGCACTCCAGTCTGGGCAACAGAGACTCCAACTCAAAAAAAAAAAAAAAGATGGTCTTTATCTGGGGATAGTCTTTCTTAATAAAATGCCTATTTCATTTCTTTACTGTGTCTCATGATTAATTAATTGATTTTTTTCTGTGTGACAAAAGGCATATTTTCTACATAATTTACTTTGAAATTGTTAATTGATTGCTTGAATTATTTTATTTGAAAGGAATCCATTGATCAAATGCTAAAATAAGAAAAAGTCAAAATTAGCAGTCATAAGATAAGTTTTAGACTCCGATGCGGTCTCTTCATCAGAGATATCAATGTATTGTCATTTACTGAAGAACATACTTAGAAAGATTTATTACAAAAATGGCACTATTACCATTTTTTAATCTTACCTATGTAATTTATGGGGGTGATTGCCCCAAAATTAAACCTTGTATTATGATTATATTTCTATAATAGGCAAATTTTTTACCAAAATTGCCATTTTTAAGTTTTCATTGTTTTAATTTTTCTATTTTTATAGGTAAACTGACTGGTTTTTTTTGGAGGTTACTCTAAATAGACAGTCTTCTACCCCACATATGCACATTAAAAAATGCTGACTCTGACGACTAGAGGGAACGTTTAAATGAAAGTGCTTTGTTCTTCTTGTGGGAATTATGCCAAATACTGCATTAGCTTATGAAATTTTTTAAAATTTTAATGTGCAGGATGAGAAATTTGCATAGTACAAAGTCACCCCCTTTTACTTGACTTTTAGTAAACTCTAGAGTCAGGAAAGGGTAATTACCAACGATCGGATCTATACATCTTATATTTTTCTGGATGTAATTGTTTTTAGTCTGAATTTATTCAACTTATTTTTTAGCAATTTCCAACTTTAAGACTGTAAGACTCTGTGCCAAGTGTAGTAGGATTTGTGAATTATGAAAAATTACCCCTGACCTTGAGAAACATATGATCTAATGTGGGGAGGAAGAGGAGGAGAGAACATGTGAATCCCATTCCTCACACATCAGGGCAGTCAATAATGCTCTCTAATAAGTGCTTTGTGAGAGATAGAAGCTAGGTGCTAGCCAAGTGCATAGGAGAGAGAAACGACTTACAGCTGGATTGATCTGAAAAGGGACTGTGTCAGAATTGGCAAACTTAAAGAAGGTCGAAATGATAACATGCTTATAGGTGGCGATTTTAGCAAGAAAAGCAGAATGGAAAGAATTCTACAGGTAGAAGCATGTGCATGAACCAGTGCAGGGGGCAGAGAGGAGGTATAAAGGGGAAGACAGAACTGGAAACAAACATAAAAGTAGCAGAAAGGCAATGCATACCATACTATGAATTAACAGTTTATATTCTGAAATGTTATTAAGCAGAATGACAAAAGGAAAGTCATAATTTTTAAATTTTTTTTATTTTAAAGATGTGGGGTACAATTCAGGGTTAGGCATACAAATGGTCATTATGCAGGTACTGTTGTTGATGAGATGTGCCCCCACCCCCAGGCATTTTACCAGGACGATTCCTAAAAGATCTAAAAATTGACCT